CATCTGTTGTCTCCAGAGGTTTTAATGATTGCCATTCTAACTGGCGTGAGATGGTATCTCAATGTGGTTTTGATTTGCATTTCTCTAATGACCAGTGATGATGAGCATTTTTTCATATATTTATTGGCCTCATATATATCTTCTTTTGTAAAGTGTCTGTTCATATCCTTCACCCACTTTTGAATGGACTTGTTTGTTTTTTTCTTGTAAATCTGTTTTAGTTCTTTGTAGATTCTGGATATCAGCCCTTTGTCAGATGGGTAGATTGCAAAAATTTTTTCCCATTCTGTTGGTTGCCAGTTCACTCTAATGATTGATTGTTTCTTTTGCTGTACAGAAGCTCTGGAGTTTAATTAGATCCCATTTGTCTATTTTGGCTTTTGTTGCCAATGCCTTTGGTGTTTTAGTCATGAAGTGCTGGCCTATGCCTATGTCCTGAATGGTTTTTCCTAGGTTTTCTTCTAGGGTTTTTATGGTGTTAGGTCTTATGTTTAAGTCTTTAATCCATCTGGAGTTAATTTTAGTGCAAGGTATCAGAAAGGGGTCCAGTTTCTGCTTTCTGCACATGGCTAGCCAGCTTTCCCAACACCATTTATTAAACAGGGAATCCTTTCCCCATTTAATAGGGCCAAGGGAAGATGTCAAAGGTTAAGGGACAACAAACTACAACCTACAGGCCAAATTCGGGCTGCTGCCTATTTTTGCATGGTTCTGGGAGGGAAGAATGGTTTATATTTTTGTTTGTTCGTTTTGATTTATTTATTTATTATTAATTCATTTATTTTTTGAGATGGAATCTTGCTCTGTCACCTAGACTGGAGTGCAGTGGCATGATCCCGGCTCACTTCAACCTCTGCCTCCCAGGTTGAAGAGAGACTCTCCTGCCTCGGCCTTCCGAGTAGCTGGAACTACAGGTATCCACCACCATGCCCAGCTAATTTTTGTACTTTTAGTAGAAATGGGATTTCACCATGTTGGGCAGGCTGGTCTTAAACTCCTGACGTCGGGTGATCCTCCCACCTCAGCCTTTTAAAGTACTAGGATTACAGGTGTGAGCCACCATGCCTAGCCTTTGTTTTTTTCGACACAGGGTTTCACTTTCTCACCCAGGCTGGAGTGAAGTGGAACAATCTCAGCTCACTGCATCCTCTGCCACCTGAGCTCAAGCAGTCCTCCTGCCTTAGCCTCCCAAGTAGCTGGAATTACAGGCATGGGCTACCACGCCTGGCTAATTTTTGTATTTTTTATAGAGACGGTCTTTCACCATGTTAGCCAGGCTGGTCTCGAACTCCTCCTGAGCTCAAGTGATCCACCTGCCTCAGCCTCCTGAAGTGCTGGGATTACAGGTGTGAGCTACCACACCCAGCCAAAAATCGTTTTAATGGATGAATGTTTGCAATATGATAGGTAACACTAACTTGAGCCCCAATTAAGTAAAATATTATTCCAGAAAAAAAAAAGACAAAACCAAAAAAGAAACCCAATCTTCTCACATTAGCAGACATTTTTGTACAAAAAGCATTGTACACAGTATTTGTCAACAAAAATTTGGTAGAAATTTGATTTCCCTCTTTTGCATAAATACCTATACAATATCCTTGATTTTGCCTTTGACCCTCAAAGTCTAAACAATCTATTATATGGTCCTTTACAGAAAAAGTTTGCCAAACTCTGGTCTAGAAGCAGGCGATGGTCCATTTTCATAGAATGGAGAAATGGCAAAAGTTAAAGGACTTCTTGATAGACAATCACTTGTAAAGAATTGTCTGCTGAGAATGTTGGAAAAGTGGCTGAAGAGTTGTAAAGCTTCAAAATAGCTGCTGTGGGAACAGCCTGTATTTGATAAAGGGACAGTTCTAATCATGGAAAGATTAGATTTAATCTAATTAAATTATTTAATAATTTAATTAATTATTAAATTAAAATTTAAAAATTATTAAATTAAAATTATTAAATTAAAATAAAATTTAACTTTTTTTAAATTATTAAATTAAATAATTATTAAATATTATTATTATTATTAAATAAATGGACTAGTCATACATAGCAAGAAGAACTGTAGATCATTACCTTGTTCCTTTGCCAAATAAACTTTGAATAGTTGAAAAATTTAACAGTGAAAGAACAGAAACATTAAAATACCAAAAGAAGCTGGGTGAGGTGGTTCACAACGGTAATCCCAGCACTTTTGGAGGCTGGGATGGGCGAATCGCTTGAGTCCAGAGCTCAAGACCAGCCTGGGCAACATGGCAAAACCCCGCCTCTACTAAAAATACAAAAACTTTAGCTTGGCATGATGGCACACACCTGTAGTCCCAGCTACTTCGGAGGCTAAAGTGGGAGGATGGCTTCAGCCCAGGAGGTGAAGGTTGCAGTGAGCCAAGATCGCACCACTGCATCTTGGAAGAACCTGCTTCAAAAAAAAAAAAAAAAAAAAAAGAGAAAGAAAGAAAGAACAAAAGAAAGTTTGGGTAAATATATATCTTTTTAGTTTGGAATGGAAAATGTCTTTAAACTTCATGAACCAAGAAACAAAACCTGAGATTCTAGATTTGACTTTCTAAAAAGGTAAAACTGGGCTGGGTGTGGTGGCTCACTGCTGCAATCCCAGCACTTTGGGAGGCCAAGGCAGGCAGATCACTTGAGGTTAGGAGTTGGAGACCAACCTGCCCAACCTGGTGAAATCCCGTCTCCAGTAAAAATACAAAAATTAGACGGTGTGGTGGTGTGCGCTTGCAATCCCAGCTACTTGAGAGGCTGAGGCAGAGAATTGCTTGACCCTGGGAGGTAGAGGTTGCAATGAGCTGAGATTGTGACTGCACTCCAGCTATAGTGATGGAGTGAAACTCTGTGCTCAAAAACAAAACCAAAAACAAAACCTGGTATAACAATCCCCTCTTAAAAACTAACAACAACAACAACAAGAAGAGCAATGCTAAAAAGCAGTCAACAGGTGGGGAAAAAATTACAACATACATGATCAACGGTTATATCTCTAATATAACAGTATATATTTTTGTTTATTTAAAGTTTTTTTTTTTTTTTTTTTTTTTATAGGGCCAGGTGCAGTGGCTCACACCTGTAATCCCAGCACTTTGGGAGGCCAAGGCAGTGGATCATCTGAGGTCTGGAGTTCAGGACCAGCCTGACCAACATGGAGAAACCCTGTCTCTACTACAAATACAAAATTAGCTGGGCATGGTGGCACATGCCTGTAATCTTAGTTACTCGGGAGGCTGAGGCAGGAGAATGGCTTGAACCTGGGAGACACAGGTTGCAGTGAGCAGAGAGCACTCCATTGTACTCCAGCCTGGGCAAGAATAGTGAAACTCCATCTCAAAAAAAAAAAAAAAAATATATATATATATCAAATGAAGTTGATATTCTTTGCTCCATAGTCAATTGAATGACTATCTTGGTTATTCAAATATAATTTGTGAAGGCACTGTGGTTCTGCAGAAATGTTCTGTGATAATAAAACCTTCTGTAGAGTGTGTGTGTTTCTCTCTCTCTTTTTTGAAGTTGGAGTATCACTTTGTTGCCCAGGCTGGAGTGCAGTGGCATGATCATAGCTCACTGCAGCCTCAAACTCCTGGACTCAAAGTGATTCTCCCACCTTATACTCCTGGCTAGCTGGGACTACAGGCACGCACCACCACACTTGGCTAAAATTTTTGACTTAAGAGATGATGGGTTGTGCGGGGGGTATCTTGCTTTGTTGCGCAGCCTGGTCTAGAACTCCTGCCCCTAAGCAATCCCCCCACCTTGACCGACCTCCCAAAGTGCAGGGATTACAGTCATGAACCACACCCAGCCGAGTGTTTCTTTCTTGATTAGTAAAGACTGCCTCATCCTGCTGGGTGAAGAGGCTCATGCCTGTAATCCCAGCACTTTGGGAGGCCAAGGCGGGTGGATCACCTGAGGTCTGGAGTTTGAGACTCAGCCTGACCAACATGGAGAAATCCCATTTCTACTAAAAATACAAAATTAGCCGGGCATGGTGGCACATGCTTGTAATCCCAGCTACTTGGGGGGCTGAGGCAGGAGAATCCCTTGAACCCAGAAGGCGGAGGTTGCAGTGAGCCAAGATTGCGCCATTGCACTCCAGACTGAGCAACAAGAGTGAAACTCCATCTCAAAAAAGAAAAAAAAACAAAACTGCCTCATCCTTTGGTCTTGTTAGTCAGTAGAGAGGCGGTGAATCTGTTGCCTTAGGAGGCTCAATCTTATAGGATAAGGGGTCCAAGAATCCAGTTTCTGCTCACCCAGATCTGAAGTTAAGGAGACTTTATCTTATCTTTAAGGCCCAGTGGCAAAGGAGGACTGAGGAGACACCAGTTTTAGTTCTCTCTGCATTTAGAAGAGGATCCTGCTGCCCTTTGGGCTGAGTAAGCCCCAGCCCCACCCTCTACAACTAGGATTCTTGGACATTCAGAGGGCAAACCACAATGACTTCTGATAGGGCATGTGGGAAGCTTAAACTATAATTGAGAAAGTTAACAGCTGTAACTGACCACATTTGTACCTTAAGTTTGTGGAGCAGATCGTAGTAGCTGCACTAGTATAGAAAGAACTCTTTAAAAAGTCAAGAAGAAAAATAGCATTCAATATAAAATGGGCAAAGAGTATGACTAACCAAATACAGAATAATAAAAATAAATGACCATTAAATATATTTAGAATGTTTAAAATGCACTAGTAATCAAAAAAACTATACAAATAAAATGAGTTATCATTTGTCATAGATCAGATGATCAAAGATAACATTATTGATTGTTGTAGATGTGAGAAAACGTGTAGTTCCATATTCTATAAGAGATACAACAAATTGGCATTATGTATACAAAATTAATATGTGTATTTGTTTAATTTAAGAAAATAGACAGGCTGGGTGTGGTGGCTCATACCTGTAATCCCAGCACTTTGGGAGGCCGAGGTGGGCAGATCACTTGAGGTCAAATATTTGAGACCAGCCTGGCCAACATGGTGAAACCCTGTCTCTATCAAAAAATACAAAAATAAGGAAATAATTGGGCAAATTCCCAATGATGAAAACATTTGTTATAGTATTGTTAAACAATGTATATGATTCACGTATACAGTGGATTAACTATGCCTTCCACATTTATGGGAGTTCTAAGACTGCCTCTCTGTTTAATGCCTATATTGTTAGAAGGTCATTCACTGCCCTCTAACACCCCCTTCCACCCCTAACTATGCCTCAGTTGCAGGAAATTTGGTTAGCTATTCTTTCTTTCTTTCTTTTTTTGAGACACAGTCTCACTCTGTTGCCCAGGCTGGAAAGCAGAGGTGCAATCTTGGCTGTTGTATCAGTGGCTACAACCTCCGTCCCCGGATTCAAGCAATTCCCCTGCCTCAGCCTCGCTAGTGGCTGGGATTACAGGCATGTGCTACCATGCCCGGCTAATTTTTGTATTTTTAGTAGAGCCTGGTTTTGCTATGTTGGTCAGGCTGATGACTTCAAGTGATCCTTCTGCCTTGACCTCCCAAAGTGCTGGGATTACAGGCGTGAGTCACTGTGCCCGGCCTTGGTTAGCTATTCTTAACAAGTACAAAAGAAAGTAGTATCAAAGTTGAACGAGAAGAAAGAAAGCAAAGAGAGGAAGTGGGATTTCTCAGTCTACAGAAATTTTGACTCTTTTTTATGGCTCTAAGGAGTGCCCACACAAAAGAATTCCTCCTGATCTTCTGTAACGTACAAGGGGCATCCCTGTGGGCTCCAGATGAAATGCAAATAGATGATTTACACATTTTGGGAGAACAGACTATTGAACCATTTCAAATCATAATTAAATTTTTTTTTAAGAGATAGGGGTGTCATTATGTTGGCCAGGCTGTTCTTGAACTCCTGGCCTCAAGTGATTCTCTCACCTTGGCTTCCCAAAGTTTTGGGATTATAGGTGTGAGCCACTACACCCAGCCTTTCACGTCATAAGTAACAGCTCTACCTGGACCAGTTTATTTGCCCTTGTTCTTTATATGGAGGAAAACCATGTAATGTATTACCTAAATAAAAACACTTGAGAATGAAAGGGGATGCTATTAATAATTACACTGGAATTGTCCTAGGAAAATCAGGACATGCAGTCATCTATGCCTACCATATGTTTTTAACATGCTCGAGGGAGAAAAACAGGTCTAACTGATAGCAATAGTAGTTATAAATTGAAGCATGAATCAGATAGATAGCTACATAGCTAGAAAGATAGATGTTCATCGATTTGTGTAAGATTCGAGACACGTCACACAATAATTTTAATAGATATCCATTGTATAGTAAATATAGTATATCAAATTTTCTTCTTATCTGGCTTCTGCTTCTTAAATAGGCTGATTTTATTCCAACACTTTAACAACTTGGAAAAATGTTGTTGCTAGCTCTTTAAATTCTTGCCTGTTTGCATAAGTAACGTCAGATACAGTAGACTGGCTCAGTTAGCCTTCATTCCAACCCCTTTTTTGCTTGTTTTACTCTAATATGGAGAAGCACGTTCCCAGACTCTCCTGTAGCTAAGTGTGACCGTGTGACTCAGTTCTGTCTTAATGAGTCTTAATTAGAAGTCAGCTGCTGTTGCCTCTTCCTTTTCCTCCTGATGGCTTGGAATGTATAAAATATTTGATGTGTGGCATCCATTAGCAAGAAAGCAAAGCAGGAAGGTAGAAGGAACCTGGTTCTTGGAGGACAAAATTTAAACTCCCCATACCAGCTCTGAACTTTTTACAGATGGACATACAAAACAAATCAACCTCTTTCTCATTAAAAAAATTTTCTGGTAACTTGCAGTTAAATGAGGTTTTAAAACAACCAACTGTTTTGACAAACAATCTTAAAATCTCAATAACCCAGCTCAAAAAATATGCCTCTCTGCTCTTTCAAATCTCAGTACAGTGCAGGGCAGGAAGGCAGGAAGTGGGAGTACATTCACCTGGTTTCATACTGCAGCCATCAATATTTATCCTCTCAGACCCCTGAGAAGGGAAAGACAGATTAATAGGTTGTGTGTGAATAATTATTTAGCACTTCTACCTGAATTCCATAGGGCAAAATTAGTCACAGGGCCCCACCTAGCTGAAAGAGTCACTGGGAAATGTAGTCTTTCTATCTGTGCAGGAGGAAAATGAACTGGTTTAGTAAATAGGTTGAATTGTCTTTGCTATGGGAAATTTCGTGGCGAAGGATAGAAAATCAAGAACATCAAAACCTGGGATCCAAAAATCACAACATAATTAAATAATAATCAAGGAAGTAATTAAAAAATTACTATGCTTAAAAGAATTAAAAAGATTACTATACTCACTGTTGAAAAATACAGTTAAGCAGAAACAGTTCATCAGAGGGCTTGTGAAGTATATTTTGGTAACTAAGTTTTCGTAGTAACATAGAAATAACCCCCAAATTTTTGTTGTTTTAATTTTTTTTTTTTTTTTTTGAGACAGGGTTTTGCTCTCTTGCCCAGGCTGGAGTGCAGTGGCATGATCATGATTCATTGCAAACTCAGCCTCCTGGGCTCAAGTGATTTTCCCACCTCAGCCTCCTGAGGAGCTGGAACTACAGGCACACAGCATCACACCTGGCTGATTTTTGTATTTTTAGTAGGGACAGGGTTTTGCCATGTTGCCCAGACTGGTCTCAAACTCCTGAGCTCAAGCCATCAGCCTGCCTTGGCCTCACAAAGCGCTGGAATTACAGGCGTGAGCCACCGCACCTGGCTTAATTTTTCTTAAAAATCTTCTAAAACTCTTAGTGTGTGTGGGAAGTAGAAAAGTTTCTTTTTAAAGTTTCCTTTCTTGTTAAAGAATAAGTGTGCTAATTATTCTTTGTTAAGCCCTATCCCATGTAGCCGTTAGACATGCCATGCTTACAGGCACGTAGTATATGTCCTTGTATTTTAACCAGGGTATCTGTGCTAGACGTGCTCACTTCTGTTTAGAGAAGTTTTACGTTGTTAGCCAATTGGGTTTTAGTTTAGATTGTGAGGTCTGGCTCTAGTCGATGGAGATCAGACACAGCAGTAAGGACAAGCCCAAATGCATAAGGGATAAATTTGTGTGTTTTCCTTTGTTCACTGTACTTCGTGGCAAGATGACCAGTGAGCGTACGCTTCCTGCAGTCCAGGAAGTAAAAATTGCATTGCTGAAAAATCCTTTGTCTCAGTGCTCATTTTTCTTTATGGCACCAAGCATCTATTTCCAACAGTGCGTATCTCAAATAACACGGTATTATACATCTATTTACTGCTTCCAGTATATATCAGTTTCCTATTACTGTTGTAACAAATGACCACAAACAGTGTCTCAAAACAATAGAAATGTGTCATCTTATAGTTCTGGAGGTCAGAAGTCTGAAATGGGTCTCACTTGGCTAAAATCAAGATGTCAAGCAGGGCTGTATTCTTTTTGGAGGCTCTAGGGAAGAATCCATTTTCTTACGTTTTCCTGCTTCTAGAAGTCACCTACATTCCTTGGATGCTAGCCCCTTCCACCATTTTCAAAGCCAGCAATAGAGCATCTTTGAATCTCTCTCTGACTCTTTATCTTTTACCTCCTTCTTCCATATTTAACGGATTATTGTGAATACATTGAGTCCATCAGATAATCCAAAAGAATCTCCCTATTTTAAGTTCAGCTGATCAGTTCCTTAATTCTATCTGCAACCTTAATTTCCCATTGCCAATAGAATGGGTTTCAGGGATTTTTCCATGAACATTTTTTGAGAGAACCACTATTCTGCCTCACACAATGCCATAAAAAATTGTGATTATAAGTGGAATATGTAGGCCGGACATAGTGGATCACACCTGTAATCCCAGAACTTTGGGAGGCCAAGCCAGGTAGATCACCTGAGGTCCAGAGTTCAAGAATGGCCTGGCTAACATGGTGAAACCTCGTCCCTATTAAAAATACAAAATTAACCAGGTGTGGTGGTGCATGCCTATAATCCCAGCTACTCAGGAGGCTGAGGCAGGAAGAGTTGCTTGAACCTGGGAGGCAGAGGTTAAAGTGAGCCAAGATTATGCCACTGGACTCCAGCTTGGGTGACAGGGCAAGACTCTGTCTTGAAAATAAATAAATAAATGTAATATGTTTGTTACAGAAACTGGTTGCTGGACATGGTGGCTCACGCCTGTAATCCCAGCAGTTTGGGAGGCAGAGGCAGGTGGATCGCCTGAGGTCAGGAGTTCAAGACTAGCTTGGCCAACATAATGAAACCCCGTCTCCACTAAAAATACAAAAAATTAGCTGGGAGTGGTGTTGGGCACCTGTAATCTCAGCTATTAGGGAGACTGAGGCAGGAGAATCGCTTGAACCCCAGAGGTGGAGGTTGCAGTGAGCCAAGATCATGCCACTGCACTCCAGCCTGGGCAACAAGAGTGAAACTCCGTCTCAGAAAAAAGAAGACAAAGAAGAAGAAGAAGGAAGAAGAACAAGAAGAGGAAGAAGAAGAAGAGGAAGAAGAAACTGGTTACATATAAAATATGCTTTTCATAGAACTGATTACATACAGAAAACTAAAAATAATAAAAATTAAAATAAGGTGATTCTGTCAGCCAAAGATTATCACTATTAACATTTTGGTATGTACTTTTCAAATATATATATATATATATATATATATATATAATTACTTTAAATACATATATTTTAAATTGGATCATAATGTTTATCCTGTTTTCATTTAATAGAAATATCTTCCCAAGTCAGTAGATATGACTCAATATCATTTTTATTATTTGTAATTTTTTTTTAAGACAGGGTCTCACTGTCAACCAGGCTGGAGCACAGTGGTGCAATCATGGCTTACTGCAGCCTCGACGTCTTAGGCTCAAGCAATCCTCCCATCTCAGCTTCTCAAGTAGATAGAACTACAGGCATGAGCCACCAAGCCTGGCTAATTTTAAATATTTTGTAGAGATAGGGTCTTGCTGCATTGCCCAGTCTGGTCTCAAACTCCTGGGCTCAAGCAATCCCCCTGCCTGGGCCTCCCAAAGTGCTGAGATTACTTGGATGAGCCACAATGCCCAGCCTATAATTTTTTTTTTTTTTTAATATATAAAACATTTACGGCGAGCTGCTGTGGCTCGTGCCTGTAATTCCAGCACTTTGGGAAGCCAAAGCTGGTGGATCACCTGAAGCCAGCAGTTCAAGCCCAGCCTGGCCAACATGGAGAAACCCCGTCTCTACTAAAAATACAAAAATTAGCCAGGCATGGTGGCATGTGCCTGTAATCCCAGCTACTCGGGAGGCTGAGGCAGGAGAATCGCTTGAGCCTCTGAGGTGGAGGTTGCAGTGAACCAAGATTGTGCCACTGCACTCCAGCCTGGGCAACAGAGCAAGACTCCATCTCAAAAATATAAAATAAAATTTACATGATTCAGAAATCAAAACAATATACAAGGGTATATTTAGAGATATTTTGTTCCTCTCTCTATCTCCTAAACTTTATTCCCACCAATCCCTGTAATAACCTTTTTCATTATTTTCTGGTTTATCTTTCCTGTGTGCATGTGTTGAGGATTTTTAGGGGGAATAAAAAAGTGTGCATATTTATATTTCCCCTTTCTTATAAAAAAGGAAGCATACCACGTGTACCATTTTGCAACTTAGATTTTTCACTCCTCATCAGTACTTAGAAATATTCCTTGTTGTTTTTTATGGGCACATAATACTTCATTGTGTGAATTTTAAAAAAGCATACCCCAAATTTGAATTTAAAAAAACAAGCTGAGTGTAGTGGTTCACGCCTGTAATCCCAGCACTTTGGGAGGCCAAGGGGGGTGGATCACCTGAAGTTAGGAGTCCAAGACCAGCCCAGCCTGGCCAACATGGTGAAACTCCATCTCTACAAAAATACAAAAATTAGCCAGGCATGATGGCATGCACCTGTAATCCCAGCTACTTGGGAGGCTGAGGCAGGAGAATCGCTTGAACCTGGGAGGTAGAGGTTGCAGTGAGCCAAGATTGCGCCATTGCACTCAATCCTGGGCAACAGAGCAAGATTATGTCTCAAAAAATAAATAAACTTAGCTGTATATTAGATAATATAACCTCAGAGAGAAAAATAATTAATTCAATAACTTTGAGCACAGGTTTTTACTGTACACATTTAGGGAAATATGATTTGAAGACAAAAAGAGCTATGATGAAATATTAAAATGTTACTTAGATTTGTTGCTGGTAATGATTTTGGTGTTGTAACTGAAATTCTTTTGTATGTGATACATTGAAGAACAAATGATTGACAGTGAGAGCCAGGGTTTTGTGGGAGAAGGAAAATACAAATACCGAATGGGGGAAGTTAGGAAAGGCCTTGTGATGTTGGATTGAATTGGAGGCGTCAGTGTTAATTCATACTTTTTGTTTCATTTTGGTTTTTGAGTGCATTCACCAGTTTTGTCCACTAAAAGGGCCTATAAGCAAAGACAATCCAGAATAATTTCTATAGTAAATACCATTCTTCATTCTAAAGAACCAGAACTATCTTTTAAAAATAGTACATCCTGCATTTTAATTAATTCCATATAACAAAAGTAACAGCCTAGACTAGCTACTCAGGAGGCTGAGGCAGAAGAATCGCTTAAACCCGGGAGGCGGAGGTTGCAGCGAGCTGAGATCGCACCACTGCACTCCAGCCTGAGCAAAAGAGTAAGACCCCATCTAAAAAAAAAAAAAAAAAAGTTATATACACATTCTTTTGGGAGAAGACAGTACCGAATCTCTACATGGTACCAAATATGCACCAAAAAAAAAAAAAA